ACACACACACACACACACACACACAAGGTTGCAACTCCTGAACCCCAGGCAAACGTGGATGACAGAGGTGCTTTCCAGCTCTTTCCCCATTTCCTTTGCTCCCTCCAGACAAAAAACTGTTTTGGAAGCAATCCTGGGCTGAGGAACAGGAAGAGGAGGGGCAGAGCATTCAGAACAAGCTGGACTTTTGACCCTCCTTCTAGCTGGTAGAGGAAGGGCAGGCCCCAGACAACTGTGAACAATGGTTAGGCCTGGACAACTGTAAGCCAAGACCTGGAGTCTGTCCCCAACTATAAAATATCCCCCACTCTTCCCATAGAGAGCCACATGTGCCATCATCCCCTCCCTGTCCAGAGATACCATAGATGCCTTGATCCTCTTGGGCTGATTAATGCAAGCACCTGTCCTACTGGATGCTTGCAACTCACACATGCCAGGCCATGCTCCCTCCCTCTTTCTCTGCCCTGGGATCACTTGTCAAAAAAAGGAGGCATGTGGGGCCATTCCTCCTTCTCTCTGGGTAGATATATAATTTCTTTTATATTTATATTTATATTTTTATATATAGTTATTTATATATACACACAACTGGTAACTCAGAAGAGAAAAAAAATAGAATCCGTAACAATAATCATAAAAAAAATTATTCTGGTTTAAAAATGATCTGCCCTACCACATGAGGTGAGCAATTGCACTAGGTCTGCGAGTGTCAGGCCCGTTAGGGGCAGGGCTGCAGGCTGCCTGCCCTGCCTTTCTCCCAGCTGGAGGCGCTGCTGGTGTGGTGTCCCCTTCTCTCGGCAGTGTGTGCTATGTTTGCAGTTTCTTGGTTGGTTCAGAGGAGGTGGCCAGCTGTGGTGAGTAGCCAAGCTGGGCCCGCCACTGCTATGATGTCAAGGGGGTGCCCAGGGCCTTGCCCCAAATCCCAGGGATTGTAGTTAAAAATGGTCACTGTCCTCGCAGCTTCCCCTCCCAGTCGGATTCTAAAAAGCGTCCATGTATCGAGAGCACAGGAGCGCCTGGCTGCTGCGCCTGGGCCTTTGGGCATCAGCCAGGGAGGAGGTGACAGTGGGGAGAGTGCACTGCCCTTCATACAGAAATCTCATAGGTGGTCCCGCCCACTCCAGACACTTTCTTGACTCCTCCACGTGTGGGGCTGCTCAGAGGTGGTTGGCCAGGGGTTGGGGAGGCTGGGCCCAGGCTCTTGGGTTGCCCGTTGGATTTGCTGTAAGCTGTTCGCATCTGCACCTCGTCTCTGGGGAAGGAAGGACACAAGGGCGTCAGGAAGTGATCACACACTTTGGGGCTGGGGGTGTGGAAAAAGAAGGACAGAACATGTATGTGCAAGGGAGAGGTGAGGATACTCTACCTCAGAGCTCCCTGCACAGCCCTCTTCCTCTGGGTGTCCCAGACTCACATTACACCCTCAGTAAAGACCCTGATTTGGCAGGAAAACTCAGAGATGGCTACAGCCCCCAGTTTCCTGAGCAGAGGAAGGTTTTGCCCCTTGCCCTGGGAACAAGTCTGTCCAACACCCCCTACACTTGGTGGGGGAAAGGGTGCGATGGAAGGAAAGTCACATATGCACCCCAGGGAGGAGTCACCCAACCCCAGTGTGTTGGACAGAGTGGGGATGTAGGTCTCTCACACCCAAGGCAGTGTCTGCCCAATACTCCCCACAGCACTCCCTGGGGAGAGGTAGGAAGGTCTCACGCCCACCTCTCCCTGCAGGAGGCACACCTTTCCCACTACCATCCCACCAAACCGGCGCTCACCAGGAAGGTGGAGGAAACTCCCTCTCTCTCACTCCCTGAACTGCCTGGGGAGAGCTAGGTCACACACAGGGAGGGGTTAATTAATGGCATTGGACTGGATGTGGGAATGTGTGGGAGTGGAAAGGGAAGGGCTATACTCAAACCATGTTCTCTGGCAGGGATAGGTGGAGGCTGAAGTAGGAGTGGTAAGGATGAACGGGTAGACGAAAGCAGGCGACTTATCACCCCCCGCCTCTCCCTCTGGTGTGCCATCAGCTCGCTCTGAGGTCCTGGGCATGGCAGTGGTGGGGCAGTAACCCAAGCATGTCCTCAGCTGAGTCAAGGAACACTTAAAAGCATGAGGCTGGCAGAGTTTGTACTTACTTTGGTGCCAGTAACGGCTGCAAGGCCACCTCCTCCGTCTCTGGGACGCTGGCCTGAGACGATGCTTTTTGGCTGCTGTAAGACACAGATTTGCCCAGGTGGGGGGCAGCAGGCTGGTCTGGTGAGCCTAGTGAGCGCACCCTGAGAGCGTGCAGAGGCTCGGGCTTGCCAAAACGGGGTGGCACTGGGCGAGTGAGTGGGTTCTTTGCCAGAGGCGAACGCTTCGAATCGTCCGAAGAGGAACTGGTACGTGGGGCATTGCTAGAGCCTGGTGTGGACTGGACGCCTGAGTCCGCCTGTCCTGTGTCCTCCTCTCGAGCCAGAGGCGGTGGGCTGGGTGCCTGCTGCAGAAGCTTCTCCCGCTCCTGCATGGAGGCCACAATGTGGCGTGAGAGATTGTCATAGCGGATAGGAGAGTGCTCACGAGGGGGGTGGTGCTTGGGTGAGCCGGTGCTGGGGAAGCGGCTGTGCAGGTCAGCCTCACGCTGCTGAGTGATGCGGGCTGAAAGGAAGGGTGATGTGTAGCCCATGGGGGGGTCTGGCTCTGGCCCGGCCTGCACAGACTCGAAGTCAGGGCTGTCAGAGGGGGTGAGCAAGCTGTCATAGGACAAGCTCCCATTGCGCGTCTGATTCACCAGGCTCTTGTAGGATGTGGAGGTGGTGCCCTCAGAGCGGATCGATTGCAGATGGCCCATCTCGAAACCCGTGCCCTGGGCCGACTTGAGGCTGGAGGAGCGAGAGCCGCTCGACAGTGGGTCAAAGTGGAAGCTCTTGCCAAAGGTGGGCGAACGGAAGCTCTCGGGCTCAAGGCTTGGCTCCGACCGATAACTAGGGTTCCGGCTGCTCTCAGCTATGGATGTGGGCTCTTTCAGGCTGTCCCCTCGGCTCAGCTGGAAGGAAGGCAGGCAACCACTCAGCAAGCCCCCCGCACCAAGTG